CTCGTCCGTCGTACGACGAGGGCACCTCGGCCAAGGAGGCCAATGAAAAGGGCTCGTCGGCCAGCGCCACGGAGCTCGAGTACGTCGACGAGGCGGCGGCCGGCGCCACGCCGCCCACGGCGCGCGCCAACCTCAACGGCACCGAGGGACGCCTGCACCGCCGCATCACGCCCGGTCAGATCAGCATGATTGCCCTCGGCGGCTCCATCGGCACGGGCCTGACGATTGGCACCGGCGGCGGTCTGGCCACGTCGGGCCCCGTCTCGCTCACCCTGGGCTTCCTGTTCATGGGCATCATTTGCTACGCCGTCATGGCCGCCCTGGCCGAGATGGGCACCTACATGCCCCACGACCGCGGCTTCCCCGGCTACGCCACCCAGTTTGTCTCGCCCGAGCTCGGCTTCGCCGTCGGCTGGGCCTACTACCTCAAGTACACCCTCGCCCAGGCCAACAACCTCAACGCCGCCGCCTACATCATCGAGTTCTGGTCGCCGGGCGTCAACGGCGGCGTGTGGATCGCCATCTGCCTCTGCCTCATGGTCACGATCAACTACTTTGGCGCAAAGTCGTTTGGACGCGTCGAGTACCTCCTCGGCTGGGTCAAGGTGGCCACCATGGCCATGCTCATCTGCATCAACATCGTCCTCTTCTTTGGCGGAGGCCCCACCCACGACCGCATCGGCTTCAGGAACTGGACCAACGGCACCGCCTTCCTCGAGTTCAAGGCAAAGGGCGCGGCGGGACGCTTCTTGGGATTCTGGCAGGCGTTGGGCTCGGGCCTGTACGCCTACATGGGCACCGAGCTCTTGAGCATCGCCGTCGGAGAGGCCGCCAACCCGCGCAAGGCGGTCCCCAGCGCCATCAAGAAGACGGTGTTCCGCATCACGTTCTTCTACATCTTCAACGTCGCCCTGCTCGGCCTCGTCGTGCCGGCGCGCGACCCGCTGCTGCGCGCCGCCAACAAGGCCAAGCTGTCGGCGACGGCCTCGCCCTTTGTCGTCGCCCTCGAGATTGCCAAGATCAAGGGGCTGCCGCACCTCCTCAACGCCCTCTTTCTCTTTTTCGTCGTCTCGGCCGCCATCTCGGACCAGTACATCGCCATCCGCACCCTCTACTCGCTCTCGGCCACGGGCCAGGCGCCGGCCGTGTTTAGCCGCACCAACCGCCGCGGCATGCCCATGTGGTCGCTCCTCGCCTCGTCGCTCATCAGCTGCGTCGCCTTTATCAATGTCGCCTCGGGCGGCGCAAAGCTGTTCAAGTACTTTGTCAGCTCCCTCACCATCATCGCGGCGCTGGCCTGGATCTCGATCCTGACGACCTACCTGCGCTTCCACCACTGCCTGCGCGTCCAGAATGTGTCGCGCGCCACGCTGCCCTACCGCGCCCCGCTGCAGCCCTACCTCTCCTGGGTCGCCCTCTCCGTCACGGCCCTCGTCATGATCTCGAGGGGCTGGGTCGCCTTTGTGCCCTGGGACCACGTCACCTTCATCCTCACCTACATTGGCCTGGCGTGGTTCCTGGTCATGCTCGTCGCCTACAAGCTCGTGATGCGCTCCAAGATTGTCCCCGCCCGCCTCGTCGACCTCACCCCGCCCGAGCTCATCGACGACTACGCCCAAGACGACGACGACAACGGGGCTGGCCAGGACGGCGGCGCCGGCCGTGCCTTGACCCGCGCCCTCCCCGCAAAGGCCGCTACGCTTGCACGCCGCGTCCTCCACCGCAAGGGCCAAGGCGAAAAGACGGACCCGGCGGTCCTCTAGCCAGACAGAGCCTGGCAGCCAGCCGTCGGCCCGACTTGCCCGATACCATCACATTTCAGTAACGATTTTTCCAATGCTTTATTTTTCTCTCCCCATCCACGACACCCATCTTGTCCGGTCCACTTCTGCCCTGTCTTCGTCCCGGTCTCGTCAATCACGGCGGTTGAAATATTGTAACAATATACAAACGAGGGAGGGTGCGTTTTTCCTCCCCCTCATGGTCGGTAGCAGCAGCCTTGTAGCAATAAACGAACCCAGACCGACTCTGCAGGGTGGGGTTGTGAGGCCCCCAGAACCAGGGCGGTGGCAAATCTCAGAGCCAGCCGATCGGCAGGGCTGCTGCAGCGGGCGGGCAAGAAGAGCGAGCGAGCTGCGCGCCGTCTTGGTCTTTGCAGGCCGTCAGGCCGTCCGACCGACAACCACCCAGCTCGGACACAGGCAACGGACCCATCGTCTCTCGCTGCCAACGCCGTCGCACCACCACCACGGGCAGAGATGTCAGGTCGGACGAAGCGAGAGGGCAGACTCTTGAAATAACGGTGTTACAGGACTGGCAAATCGGAGC